TAACATCTTTCAAGCGCCATTCTAAACGTCAAATGAACGCTATTTTGAATCCGTAGCCATTTTGAAGGAAATTCGTAAAATGAGTCGAACCTGACTGTCAATATCCAACAAGCACTAGCGGGTCACGTGACATTCGCATTTATCGAAGAACATTTGTAACGTAGGATATTTCGTCTATATGCTGACTTCTTCATCTCCTGATATTGTGTAACACCAGATGTCGTATAGAAAGTTTCGTATTTCATTCGCGCATCTATTGTGTGACACCTAGTTCCTTCAGTACAGTATTTCATTCGTGCATCTATCGTCGGTATTATCAAGAAAGCCCTATTAGTGCTCATCAATGAGGGATGACATGAAAATATAGGTTATTCACGTCTCTTGTTTCGCTTATTTTCTATCGATTCTTGATGTCATCTAGCAATAATTGGACTTTTGCTTATCAATGTATATGTGATCCTCACTCGTTCTTTGCAGGTATAGGAATGATGTTCATTTATATGTGATGTTCAGTCCTTACTTACGTCATTGAAGGTTGAGATGTGTCACATAACACACCTCTACTTTCCGTCCTCACTTCCCGCCCTCACTACTTCTCGACCCCACTTTTCGTCTTCACTAATGTGATATTCCAGCTTTTGATTCTGATCGAAATATGATGGTTAAAAATGAAAAAGTATACAAACCTCGGTAGGAAGTTTCATTCCTGTCTCGAGATGCTTCGCGTCTCGGTTAACTAACTGATCTCACGACAGAAATGAATCTCCTTCCACCTCGGTTTGTAATATACTATTATATCATTTTTCGTGATATTAATTCTCACAGACATGCTCGATCAACAAATGAAATACAATTTTGATATTTATGGATGAAAGGAGTATTCTGACGAGGAAACATTCTTCAACATTAGTTAGAGTATGAAAAGAGTAATCTTTCTTGTTCTAAATAATCATTTGATATAAGGAAATAATAGGAGCTTGTGCCTGGTCATGCAATAAAAAACAACCGACAAAATAACAAATGGAACAGTGGTTCCAGGATTCTGATGCTTGCTGAAAACTAAGATCAACCATCTGATTGTAATAGCTTTCTCTATACTGGTTGTGATGACGAAATCACATGTTTCCGTTTCATTTATATCGTTGGGCGCTATCGTTTGGGAGGAAGCTAAGAAACTGAGAAATCTCAACTTGATACTTTTGGCATTCAGCTCCTTCTCTAGAGTGCATACCATCAAGAGCACAATTCCAATGTTACGGTTTTGGACTCTGCAGAAATCGTTCGGAAGGATGAAGTTTTCTTCACTCGACTTCCAGATATATTATTATTTCTCAAACAAGAGCTCACCTCTTACGCTTTCCGTTATCATTTGTTATTCCATTCTTCGGTATAACAACTCGCTTCAACATTTTATGATGGGAAAAAAAGTTTGCCTAACGAACTGAATATATACACTGGCGTTCAATTTGTTAAATAAAATAGTTACTTCGGATCCTCAATGTTATGAAGGATTCAACGCAATTTCCTTCGAGAGAGAATGAACCCAGTTGATACAGATCGATCCCAAAGATATAGGAGGGCATCACATTCATGACATTCATCATATCCGTGACTCGAAATGGAAGTCCCACTGGAATCATGACGATTTTTTTTATGTTCTGGTTTCCACGAGAAGTAATATCCTGTATGTTCAGAGAACATCGTGAGAACCAAGGGAAATAAGGTAGGGATTGGTGTTCTCCTCAAATTTCTGGAGGTTATATGCCTCGAGAAACACCTCCTTTGGCAATGTGTACCAGAGCCCCGCTGTTCGTTGGATGAACGAGTCTTTGGAGAGAGATGTTCTGCAGGTCTCCAAAGTGATCACGGAGGGGTGCGAAGCCTCAACTTGACAGGTTTATCTCGCGGAGACTGCCAAGGAAGGTACAATTGTTGATATTACAGAAGAGCATCGTCCATGAAATTATCTATAAAATAGAGCCAGATCGCCAACTGTTCTACGGTGTTGAGAATTGAGTGAGTTTGTGAGTGAGGCATCACCCACGAGACGAATTGATTGTCCATTTTTGGACAGAAGCCAACAGTTTCAGGGTATGTTTGTGTGCTGCACTCCAAATATGTTTGCCTCATAGATCCTGAGCAGCTGACTGGAAGTGTAATAGTTTCTGGCTCGGAACGATAAACCAAGTTTTTGTGATGCACTTTTCGCAATCGATCTCACGTGATTTCCTCAAGAAAGGTTATTCCTGATAGTAATACCAAGCATCGAAATGGATGTCTTCAAAGGTATCGTTTATCCTGACATGCTTATGTTTGGCACAGTGAGATCGGTTTTTCTAGGAAAGAGGCATGCTTGTATTTTGTTTGCATCGGAATCCACCAAATTATTGGATCCCCATTCGAGAGTTGTTGCCAAGTCCATAAATATGTTGTCAACATTTCTCTCTCGTTCGTTTCTGATTCGCCTGGCTGGTATTGGAGCCCTGTAAAAGAGGGCGGTATGGAGGGTACTATCATCCGCGAAGCTTTATACTGGACATGAAGTTGCTTCCGACAAATCGTTGATATGGAGTAGAAATAGTGTTGGTGTGTTAGAATTGATCCTTGCGGAACACCAGCATTTATGGTAAGAGAGTCAGATGGAACTCCGTCGACCACTACATGGAGAGACCTGTTTGAGGAAAAACTAGCTAGCAGAGATAATAGCTAGGGAGGCAAGTCATAAGATGAAAGCTTGGCGAGAAGTCCGAATGCTTTGAAGATATCAAGTGGCACGGCTGAGGTTTCACCGTATTTCTCAATAGCTTCCTGCCATTTATGTGAGACGTAAGCGAGCAGGTCACCAGTTGATCTCTGATGACGGAAGCCATATTGCCTATCGTTGGTAATACCTGAATGTTCCAGGTATTTCATGAGCTCGATGTTGATAGCTTTCTCCATGATCTTTGGAATGATAGATAGCAGTGCGATCGGTCTGTAATTGTTAGGTAGGGTCGTTTTTCCTTTTGTAGGAACTGGTTGTACTCTTGCAATTTTTCAGTTGGACGGGAATATCCCCAATTTGGAAGAGTAGTTGAACAACTTGCAGAGAACAGGTGTCAGTTCGGGAGCACATTTCTTGAGAACAATCAGTAGGATTCCGTCGGAGCCAGAAGCTTTGTTGGTGTTGAGACCCAATAAAATCTTCCGTATAGTACTTACTTAGCTGAAGGTGATCTCGGGCATATGACTGTCAATTGGCGTAATGTTTGGAGGTTATTTTCCCGATGAATTCAGAGTGGAATTTTCAGAAAATGAATGCGCAAAAATGTTGGCTTTCTCCTGGGCAGTTGTGACCCATCTTCTTTGGTCAGAGGAGGAAAGGGACTGGAAGTGGAGTTTCGTTTCTACAGCTTTGGCAAAGGACCAAAATGAACGAGATTCGTTAGGACATTCAACAAGTTTCGATCTTTTTCTGGCATTATGAGCATCCTTTGATGATCGAATTGTCTCATTGCATATGACTCTGGCCTCGACATATTCTGCTCTAGTCTCAGGGCCTGGATTTTTCTGCCATCGATGGAATGCTGCCTGTTTGAAAGCGGAAGATGTCCTCTTCGCTGTGTTCGGTATGTGGGTTTGCATCCCCAACATGATGATTTCAGAAATTGTCTCAGCACATCGTGTTGGATCTGCTGAGGAGGAACAATCTCTCTTCCATGAAAACGCTTAATATTACATACGAAGACCTTCCCAGTAGGTCGAATTGTAATGCCACATAAGACGGGTAGGAATTGTGGTGCTGGATGGCACATGGAAAGAGCAGGTTGTGAAGATGAGGGTGTGGTCAGAGTTTCCAAGTGGTGCACAAACTTCTATTCTATATGGATCAGGATTGCTGGTAAAAAATAACTAGTGTGTTGGCAGTATGGTTGTTGACATCTGGAATGCGGGTTGATTCAAAGTTGAATGATTCCGTTTGTTACATGAACAAGTCAAGAATGTGAGGTTTCAGTGAGTCTCTGGGTTGATAAGGAGACTCGCAAATCCACTTACATCTCAAGTCTCAAATCCGATGGAGTGTGAAGAATATCGCGAGAGTTTTGTGAAATAATGAGTACCCTAGCAATACCAATGTTGTTTTGTGATTGTGATTCGCATCGTCACCTAGTGAGACATGGATGTGACATTCCAGGGATTTTTGTGTTAACTGGGAAGAGTTTCATCACCGTCCAGACGGCGCTAGATCTTCAAATTGTTGGATTTTTGTTGTGGAATGACGAAGATTCTCAATCAGGTTCTCATTATGGAATTATCTCTCTATTTCATCAATAGTCGATTGGTTTCTTGTTGCATAAGAGGGTCTAGTAGTATTTCAGAAAGCGTCAATCGTTCTTATAATGAGTCAATTCGATTTCAGAAAGCATCAATTGTATTGTAGAATAGTTACTTGTATTTCAGATAGCGTCAATTGTATTTCAGAATAGTCATTCGGTTTTCAGAAAGTGTCATTTGTATTTCAGGCAATATCATTCGGAATACAATCCTCATTGAAATTATCTGAAATCAAATTGACTATACTGAGATACAATTAATTGACGTTTTTTGAAATCGAATTGACTATTCTGAAATACAATCAACGCTTCCTGAAATCCACTAATTGTATTCTGAAATTGAAATTACGCTTTCTGGAATACAACTGGAGAAAGTGTATTATACATTATTTCTCAACTAGGTCATATAGCAACATAAGCTCGAATGTTTGTATTATGATGAAGTCGGTATTCTTGACGCCTTCAAATATCATAATGTTCACATGTTCAAAGTGATAAGCACATTCTAATTGATACAAAATATCACCTATACCTGTTTCTCTCATTTTCCTAATCAGGTACAATGTTTTATGCACTAGCATCATAAAGATTTCCGTTCGTATGCTGACTATAGTAAATACAAAAATGTAGCTTTTTATGCTTGATTTTTCTTATTCTTGGCATAATTTATACAAAATTCCATTTCAGGTCTCAAAAACGCTAACCTGTTGGATGAGTTCTGTGAGAGATTTGATGAAATTAGTCCAGTATCGCTCTTCCTCGACAGAGTAGTGAAAAATCCAAAACCAATTATCAGTGAAATCAGAAAATTCTATTTTGGTGATAAGCCGCTCAATAAGGAAAGCTTGGCCGACATTGAGAAAGTAAGTAATTTTAGGACAATTCAGATTAATTTTATTGGAAAGTATTATTCTCAGATACAATAATGAACACGAAAAAATGGATATATATATTTAATAAAATACATTGGGAATTCGCATTCTCCATGTGATGAAATAGCAATTCTTCCACGGTTTATTCAATAGAAAACAAGTACTTTCCTGGCTATATGCCACGACGAATATTGAATAACATGATCACGAAAGTGTCACAAAGTGTTCGGTCGAATGAGTTGATGGAGGGAGTTGAGAATCATTGTTCTCTGAGCAAAATTATCTCGTTCGGAATCATAATTGGAATTTGAAGAACAACAACTTTGAGTTTGGGATTAATTTCGAGGAATATCTGAAATATTATTGAATTCCAGTTATAGTTCAGCCTTGAGTCATCTTCAACTAATTACATCCTTTTTTCGTCCACCCTGTGGATTTGACAATGATATGTGATGAATTCAACCCCCAAAATCATGATTCATAGAGCATGTTGTTGAAAATGTTATAGATTCTTCATGAGGTCAGATGAGGAGTATGATACTTTCATCCGCTTTCATCCTTCTTGAAAACTATATTCCAAAAATAGTTCATTTTGTTTTGAAAGATGAAGTGGAGCTCAACAGACTCTCAAATAACCAATTTCATCTGGTAATACGAAATGTTAGTCGAATGAAGGTAGAAAAATTGATTATAATTAAAAAATATATACTGGGAATTGTTCATCTCGATTTTATAATTGAATATATTCATATAATTCCAATAGCAATATCAGTGAAGACAAATCAAATAATTTGTTCCAAATGTCATTGCGTTGAAGACCTTTCGCTATTGATAAACAAAGGAGTTTATTTCTGACTGGTATATTATGAGCTTATATCATCTTAGTTACACTATCAATTAGGAGGGTCATAAGTCCCTTGGGATGTTATAGATGCTATAATTCCCTCTAGCTAAAATTAAATAAGAAATGCATAGAAACAACCACGCAATAACATAGCAATAAGGAATCTCCTATTCGCGGTAGTCAAGATCATCATCTGACGTTCTGATGACATTGAAACTATACGGAAAAACATGTCTAACTTCCAATCGGAAAGGTATCTGATGAATGAAATCAGTCAGAAATAAAATCATCTATGTATCACGGGAATTATAGAGCCTTAATAACCTCTGGCAATTGCTGTCCCTCGGGCCAGAGGCCCTCGGGACGCAAACTTTGCCATCGGTAATTAAGGCCCTCATAATTCCCTTAATACATAAATAACTATTTTCGCTGATAGTCAGTAGAACCTTGTTCATAGAATATAAAATTTATGGGTTCATATGATTAGTTGAGGTTTTGAATTCTTCAATAAAATAACCAATTTTTTTTTACGCCCAACTACTGCAAACGAAGGTCACTTACTATCATTAACAAATCCATCTTATATGTTTCTAATAGTGGAATGATTCCTGATCCTGATATGTTCTTACTATGATGATGATATTACTCAAATTTTCATCCAGATAGACACGAGAAGGAAAGGTGAGAAACTCTACAAATTCAGAGGGATGTTCTGAAATATTGTTGAAAACTATAGGTGATCCAATTAGAGTACTATCGGATAAACCGAAAAAGCAATATTATTGATATAAGATATGATGAACATTCTAGTCTATAAAGACATTCATGTTTTCCTATTATCATGAAGTTATATCATCTTGATATCATTTCGTCTTACAGATATTCACTGATTGCTGGATGCTCAAAGGGATAGATGATGCAGTGAGACTACACCACAAGTATAATAAGCAGCCCGTTTACTATTATCTGTTTGGATACAGGGGTAGTGTCAGCTATTCTAGAGTATTCGGAGGAGGCGATGAAGATTATGGTTAGTTTTATCTACTTATCACTACAGTTTCATTATTAGCTCGAAACCTAGTCGCGTGTGTATTCCGACCAGTGAGAACATGGAAAATTCAAGTTTTAAGTGGATCAATCATTTCTAGTGTAAACACAAAATCTTGAAGGATAGTCTTATCATTATCAACACGCTTTCAGTAGCTTCATCTGTATTTATATTTTTATGTAGGTATGTAACCGATTTCTCTGAACTCGATTTTGACTCACTTTAAACGGACCGATTGATTTGGAATCTGATAGGTGGCAATGTATCATGAAATTTTTGTTATTTGGTGGTTTTTGATGTCGGAGATCATGATTTTCTCGTCAGAGTTGGAAAATTCAACGTGGCGGATCCAATTCCACTAACTATGATTCATGGAGAGAATATGTTTGAGAAATAACTCTCCTGATATTGTTGAAATAGTATTGCGATGATTTCTTTCCGAAGTATTATTCATTTCTCGAATTGACAAGTTCATTTGATGTGAAAATATACCAGCTATACAAACAATGAAGCATTAGCTTAGAGCCCTTGACACTAAAGGACCACTGGAACGATAGTATCGTCATCATCACGATATGGTTGAGAGTAAGATTTATGTTTGAGTACATATGCAAAAGCTCTCAATATATATGTGCTGGCAACTGTCATAATGTAAAAATGTCGAATGTGCATGATTTCCTGTATTCTAGCTGATCAATTATCCTAATAACATATGTATGAATTAGAAATACCATTCGTACGGATGCACTAGTACCTTCATTCAGAATGCCATAGCGAGTGTGGAAATGAAAATTAGCGTGATACAATGTTTTCAATATATTCACGTAACAATGATTGAACAAATATCTATCACAAAAGCAACACTTTTTCAATTGAGCACAACGTGCATCGATTTGAAGATACAAAGATAGTATTCGATTCAGAACAATTCCAAGCATATCAAATGTGACAGATGGACTTATTATCTGAAGATAATATGTCAATGATATTGTTCATATTACAAAAAGAAAATAGAATAGTATTTTTTTTTCGCCTTTGTGGACGATCCTTTCCAGACCAGAAGAGTATTTTGCTTTATATATATATATATCAGCTTTGGTGATCTTTAACATCTCCATAACGTCTTTCATCTATGATTCATGAGTATCATTCCCGTAACTAGTAATAAATGCAGTGATGTTATTGCTCATGAATGTTATGAGATCGTTATCAAACACCAAGAAAAACAACAGACTCAGATTATATCCTTGAGGTACTCCCTGGCTAATTTCAGGATCAATGCTAGAACTGCAGCCAATATTAACTCTCCGTCTTTTTTTTTTTTCAAGATATAATGAAACTTAGTTATGTGGTGTTCCTCACACAAGTCTCTGACTTTCGAGGGTTGCTTTGCAACTAAGCTGGCGGTTAAAAACACTTTTTTTTTTTTTCATACCTGATCAGAACAGTTTTGAGAGTAACAATTCATGGTCAAGACAGTTAAAAACACGAGAGAAATCTATGAAGAGACCTAAGACACACTTATTTTGGTCAGGAGCATCGACAATTCTGGTTTGAAACTCACACAAAGCTGATTTTGTTCTTCTTCGTTAACTAATGCTGTGATAGCGACAGAATTCAATTGTTTTGGAATAAGGACATATTGATTGTCATACTCTATTTCATTCAAAAGGTTAAGTTAGAGATATTTGACAGCAAACTTATTCCTCTGTAACTATCTGAATCGTTCACATCACCTTCTTTTTAGATAGTTTCGAATTGTTTGTTTCGATGCATTTCGATGAAGATGAATTTATAGGGAAAGTCAAAGGACTACTAGTTACTAGATTGGTTAATTTTGAAGTTCTTTCGTCCTTGTCATCTTCATCCATTTTTGAACACTCTGGTATTTTGTGACCTTGTGATTGCAGTGCTCACAATATTATATCTTGGTATCCTTAGTTGTCATAACCGATTCATTCCATCTTTGACAAATTCCTTTATAGTAGTAGTAGAGCGGCGAGTGTAGAAACGAAGCGAGCGCAGGAAATGTACTTTCCAACAAGTTTTGTACACTATTTTCCCTACGACCACAAATATTCATATTATATGTCATGAGTGTTCATAAGACCAGAGTAGGGATCATGTTTCTCATTATATTCGATCACATGAAGGTGATATCATTATCATTTTTATTTAATTTCACTTCAATATTTGAATGACATCATTATTGTGTAACGTTAACTTAGCATTAACATGATATGAACTCAACATCAACTCAACATTTACGTAACATCAACTCAACATCCACTTAACATCAACTTAACATAAATTCAACAGTTTCTTAACATTAACTCGGAATTAACTTAACATTGACTCAATATCAACCCAACATTTACTTGAAATTGACCTAACATTGACTCAACATCAACTCAACATTAATTCAAAATTAACTTGACATTACATAAAAATCAAATTAACATCAAGTCAATATCGAATTAGCATCAACTTCACATTGATCACTAGATTGCCAATACATTGACATTAATTCAACTTTCAATTGAAATTAACTTACGTCAACATCAACGACAATAACTTATGTTGAATCGACACTAACTTCCTATCAACTTGACCATGACTTAACTTACCATAATTCAGCAAAATAATCATTCATTGGTACATCATAATCTATAGACCCTGTTACTGTGCGATTATCGAATATTTCCACCCATGTGAGTTTTGCTTTCGAACTTTCTATATTATATGTTATATGTTGTCATAGTGAAACGAGTCAATTTCTTGATAACGAGTCAATGTGTTTTGTGCTGTTTTCATAGGTGATCATAGAAAGAAGTTTTCATTATTTGGACTTTGTCCTGATGAATAACTCACCATTGATACACTCGTGTAGCATGCTGCACTTGCTCCACCTCAATTCATAAAGTCGCCGTCAGTAATTTTTGTTAGAAGTTCTTTCTGGTTCTCCAGGTGTAGTTTGGATTCTGAGAGTTCTGGAGTTGCTTCTGAATCATTGCATTCATATGAATATTTGATGAGTGCTTCCATATCAGCATCTTGGACTCCTAGAACTGGGACAAATATCATTATTCAATGATTCTATAACAAATTCTGCTCCTCCAAATTTCATATCTGAAGTTGTCAGAATAATATCGGCATTTTTGTGGTGCAACATCATACATTCAAAAGATTTCAGTGCTCCACTTTTCAAAGTTCTTTTAGTGAATATTCTCTTTATCATCTCATCTACCTGTTGATGATTCAGAATGTTTCTATAAACAAAGGGCCAATCTTGAGCCGTACATCTTCTCTCTCATGATTGGATTAACTTGTTGCTGCAGCACTCGAAAACTGTTTCATTGCTTTCACGTAGACATTGCAAACTTTTTCCATGTCATCGGCAGGTTTCATAGGTTCGCTATTTTTAACCGGTAACGGATTCACAGGTTCCTTATTCATTTCATGAGAGGAAAATCCATTTGGTAGATCTTCTTATCATTTGCTTGTGGTTTTTATATTTTCTCCTACAGAATAGGCCTTATTATGAATTTCAGAATCAAGTGATGGATCTGATTCACTGTCTGCCTCGTTCAGTATACTTTCTGTATTTGCAAAATTCTCAAATTTTATTCTTTTCATTGCCAATTCTATCTGAGCTTCTTCAATAAGCTCTTGATCCATGGCTTGACAATTTCGATAACTTCTCTGAAATGATCTCACTAGGCATTTTCAAGCTTTGTCATGAATTGAATCCTTGGAGCTCGGAATTGAACCATAAGCTGCATCAATCTCCAAACATGACGTGACTTTGGACATTTTATCGACAGGTCATTCAAAGATTCACCTACCTTCGTATTTTCTATGTTGAGAGATGTTTCATCTACTTCACACAATGCTGCTTATCCTCCTTTTTCAAAGTTACTTCACCATAAGAAATCTGGGTCAAGACTTTTTCTTCTTTCAGACATTATTACTGTTTTTTCAGTGCTGCCATATCCACTTGTCGAAGGACCAATATCAAATATTTCTTGGATGTACTGTATTTTCGTTGAAATTCCAGAATATTATCTCGTTCAACTTCTTACTACTTAGTTATGTAAGGTATATCGTATGATCGAATATAATAGAATATTACGTGATATGTGTTGTAAGAAGCATATTACGCACGGATAGAAAAGTTAGTTAGATTCCATGAGTGTGTGATTGCTTCAAAACACGCCAATTACTCTACCTACTGCCATATAGTACATCAAAAAAGTTTGGACATACTGTCTGACAGTTATGTCATCCACTGTTGATGGCGATTACGCGATCATGACATACCTATACTGGCGAAATGAACAAAAACTGTGCGATGTGCTTACTGTGCGTAAAGAGCTACTTACTGAGGCTGTATCTCGTGTGTTCTTGCCTACTTTTTATAGTGACCGTAGGTGAAATATGATCAAAGCCTTGTACCATTTCGATTCTGTTTACTGATGGATTCGTAATATAGATTCTCGAATTCCGCAGTAGCCTGATGGTATAAGCGTCTGACAGTGGATAGGATCTTCGTCCGATCGCCGGTTCGAGTCAGACTCGCGACTATATACAGGCTGATTTCAAAATGAGTGCATATATTCGAGACATATATATGAGAGAGTCTAACAAAAATTACTGAAATATTTGATTTTTCCTAAGTCTTCACATAACCGGGAAATTTCATTTTGAAAATTGAACATAAAATGCTTCGGAATTCGAGTACGCCACTGGGAATCAAGTGAAATCTGCGGAATCCCAGGGAATCCCCAATCCGTCATTCACTAACGTCAAAACAAGACAGTGATGCCAGATTGTTTCAGAGACGAATATCCTGATAAAAATTTGTCACAGAATGAATATGAATTGTGTAACATGAAAATTTGCCTTTTCGTGTTCCATGGTGTGAATTCGGAAAATAGGTAATTGGGAAGCTTTGTAGAGATGCACTGCGTAACTCAATGATT